TACCCCGCGCACTCGGCCCCTCACAGATCGGGCGCGCGAGCTTGTGCCGCGCTTCCCCCCCTCCCCCCGCCGCGGCCTCCCGTCGCTTGGGAGCTGGCGCGAGCTCCGCCAGGCCCAGGCGCTGTCCGCAGTGGGAGGGGCCGCTCCCGGAGCCGCCTCGGTGACTGACTTGGACACCCGAGCGAAGTTCACAGGGGAGCCGAGTGAGGCCGGGTCAGGAAAAACTGACAAAGCAGCGAAGGGTCCTGCAGCACCGTCGAGACTCACAACGTCTCGTGTCATGAGCTTTCATGGGCACAGCCCGCTTCTTCACACCTTAGCCAGGGCCTGCGGGGGTGGCAGTGTCTTAAACTTGTTGCCGGGACAGTCCTCTAAGCTGCCGTTTCACAGCGCAGAAACTTGCATCGCTGGAGGGGTAAAAACACCTACACCCGTGCCCTGAGTGATGCAAGCTTCAGAGCTGTACAATTGCCAGTGTAGACTTTACCACTGTCAGCACTGCCAAGTCTGTGTTGGCATTTTACAGCACTGTGACTTTCTGGCTCAGGGCACCTCCCACTTCCGCCGCATACACCAGCGTGAACCAGGCTATGTTACCTAATTCCCTGGCAGAGGGGTTTACGTAGAGTGCTGGGACTGTTTTCTCCTAACACTCCTGCCAGTGGCCACACTTTCAGTTTAAAGCTGGTTGCCATTGCTGTGCTTTAAACTTTTAAGGCCACGTTTATGCTATGAGATAAGGTTGAATTTAAGGTTGAATTCTTACAACCTGATTTCATAACGTCAAAGGTCTATGTCTATGGATGCTGTGCATAAGCATTCAATGTATTCAAAGTAGTGCATCAACTTTGAGAGCAATGCACTGTGGGTAGCTATCCCTCCGTACCTGTGCCACTTTGCTTCCAGTCCACACTGGGACTAAAATTGTGCAGCAGGTGGTTCTGGGTTCATGGTGTCAGTGTTCCATAATGCACTCGACTACTCCCTCCCCCCTTTCCTTGAAATCAACCGGAAACAGTCTTTTTGCATCCTTTTTAGCACTGGTTACCCACACAGACACCATAGCAGCACAAACAAGGTCCCCCTCATTCCCATTGTGCATCAGAGCATTGTGATGTTGATGTCTACCTTAGTGCACCCAATGGAAGAGTATGTCGAGAGTGTATGCACATCATTTCAGGAAGAAAACGAGAAGGAATCTCGGGGTGCCATGGACATGTTGTTCAGGCAAGCCCTTGCATTGAGTAAATTGGAAATGCTGCTGGCATTCGATCCTTTAGATACAGTGGTATCTAATACAGTGTCTGATACAGTTGTGCCATCAGACAAGCACAGACTGGTGGGAGCACATAGTGCTGCAGGTATGGGATGATCAGCAATGTCTGCAAAATTTATTAGTGCACAAGGCCACTTTCAGGGAACTTTTGCAACATTGCTTTCATCTGCCCTGTGAGACTCGTAGAAAAGTGCGTGGCAATTGCCCTCTGGAACACCAAACATTTAACAGTCAGTAGGGAATCAATTCAGAGTAGGGAAATCTACAGTAGGAGCTAGGGATGTTAAATATTGGTTAATTGAATAGCTGACTAACCATGAATTCTTATGTTACTCTACAATTCTATAGTTCCTGGAGGTGAGGACTGGCAGCCACAGCACTCTGGCCCCACTCCTGAGAAGCCCCCTGCCACTCAGAAGCGGGAGTGTGGGGTGCCAGGCAGAAGCTGGTCTGCAAGGGGAGGCAGTTTAAAAACCAGCTGTATCAGAGGCTGCAGTGCCAGTTAGCAGCAGCTCTTGTCCTGAGGTGGGGGTAACTGAGCTCCTGGACCTAGCGCAAGCTGGGTGGCTCCTAATAACACATTTAAATGCAGAGCCGCAGCTGGGGTAGATCCTGGACCCTGTGTAAGCCAGGACTGAATCGAGCTACTGACTGCCTCCTCAAAAATTTACTTGTGGGTGGAGGTGTGTGTGATGCATGTAGTCTATAGCATAACCAATTACCAAAAGCTTATAGGTTAAATCAGCTACATTATTACAACCCTAGTGGGGACTGCTGTTATGCAAGTAGCCAAAGCAATCAACACCATTCTGAAAGGGAGGGTAGTGACTCTGGGAAACATGGATACCACCGTGGAGGGCATAGCCATGATTGGGTTCCCTAGCTCCAGTGGGGCAATAGACAGAATGCACGTTCCCATCTTGGGTCCCCGACCTATATAAACTGCAATGCATGTGCTGGAGCCACTGGTGGCTAACAAGGGCCGTTTCAGTGTCTACAGGGGATAGTTGGGAAAGGTGCGCATGGCACACACATCTTTAGGAACTCCTGCCTCTTCAGAAAGCTGCAGGCTAGAACTCTTCCCAGATGAGAAAATGGGAATCGAAGAGGTGAAAGTGCCAATAGTGATCCTGGGGGACCCAGCCAAGC